CGGGCAGCGAGGTCTGCCTCGGCTTGCCAGGGCGGTTTGGGGAAAAAAAAGAAACCAAAGCTTATTTTGGGCGTCAGGAACAGCATGTGCTATATAGATGACCGATCACTGGTAACGTTACCAGTGCCGCCAGCTGGATCTATTTCTGTGCTAGGCTTGATCTTAATCTAAAAGAGCGTTGAAATAAAGATTTCTGCAGTGAATATAAAGCAGAAAGTGGTACCTCGCCTCTTCTGCTTTCTAGTCGAGTGTATTTGTGGTGGTTCAGACCTTGTCCTTGCTTCCAAGCGTTCATCTTCGTTTGGTGAAAGGGTATGGGGTGGGAAGTCAGTGCAATTACAAGAGGCATAAAGTAGTCTGAAATGCAGTCATTTGCCCAGAATAGAAGTAAACGTTTAAATTGTTTACTATGTTAGGAAAGTGCTGAATACAAATCTGTTATGTGATGCTAATACACACATAAATGTGTTTTGGTTGTAGCCCAAAATGTTCCAAACTCTGATTGGGAAAAGAAGGTAACCGAATACTTCAAGGAGAAATTGAAAGAAAATAATGCCACTAACTGGGTAAGATTGTTTAATTCTTTTAGAGTTAAGTTTTATTCTTTTTACCTCTTGGATGTTTTTGGGAAGTTCCTCCTTTTTGTGATAAGTACGCTTTGGAATTTTAGGCCTAGACTTTGTGATTTGTTATTTACATCTCGGATGCTTTAATCTGTGCGTAAAACAAAAATGTTAAATCCTGGCTGAAGCCTGAGAAACCAATCCCGTTGACTTCAGTGTCTTGTTTTGCCCTGGGCCATAACTGCTGGATGCTGCCTGTTTGTAGCACAATCCGGTAGATGGCAGGCGCTGACAAATGCTGTCATTTTTGGAAGTGTTAACGCCTGCTCTGTACTGTGAGTCTGCAGTGTTCGTATACCACAAGTTTCTGAACTGCTGCTTCTGTCATGGTCTTTTATCGTGACTCTGCAAGCTTTTTGTGGGTTGAATAAATAGCTGCTTGGGCTTTCAGGTTTTAGGAAAAAATACTTTCTGCTAAAACTGTGGTTTACTGAGCTGGATCAGGCCTGGTTTTCACAGTTTAGCAAAGAACCTGTGCTTTAGGTTTAAAAACACGGCATGCACACTTGAGTTCAAAGCTGATATTTTTCTAAAAGACTGACAAAAACAGCATTGTGGGACACTGCTAAGCGGATTAGAAACTTTCATATCAAATCTGTTCTACTTATAGGTAAAAATACAAGTGGAAATTATTTCTTTTCCTCTGTCAGTGAGGGTATTCTGTAGTTAATACTTCAGTGACAGCTTAAATCGAAGTGTAGATGGCAAAATTATGTTAAATTTACAGCATTAGAAGGAATTGAAAGCGCATTTTCTCACTGAAGATAAACATGAGGGAATATATGTTGGTTTCCTATAGGGCCACTTCTGGTTTTTGGATGAACGTGGTTATTTTTTTCAACAAAGAGTTTATCTTCAAAATCAGAGAACTCTATTCTTATTGCAGGCCTTATTATTTCAAGTTATACCACATGCCTAGGCATTGATTTTTATATTTTTTCCCTTCTGTTTTTCCACTGTCATATAAACATATCTGAAAAAGACTTTCCTGCTGTGGGCTTGGAAATTAACATACAGGTTTTTTTGTTATAAGAAATTGTGCATGTGATTGCTGTAGTACTGCGGGTACATAACACATGGTAAAAGTGCTGTTGAATGGGAATAGAATAAATAATACATTCTATTTAATGCTGTGGCTGCAATAAATCCCAGTGTAAGAGTTTTAAATGTCGTTGTAGAGTTTCCGTACTATTTCAGTGACCAAAATGCATTTATTTATAGTCCAGTATTGGGATTGAGAAATGAGTGGGACTTGTGGCTCTGAAACTGGAATACTTTGGGAACTTCTAAGTGTCTGATAATTGTAACTATCATCTGTGGCAGCTATTACAGAAACTTCCAGTGTTGAGATATACACACATTGTTACTACTTAGGGCAGTAGATGTGGGGGAAGAGTACTCAGAAAATATTCAATATGTTACCTGATGAGGCACTGAATTGTCAGAGAATTAATTATATCAACAACAAGGGAAGTAAGTGAACAGTAGGATACACTGGATTATGAGAGAATAAGTTGGTGAGAGACTTTGTGCTGATTTTTTTTGCTTACTTCAGGGCATTTCTTAATATTTATATGCCAATTGTTTAGAATAAGCTCTTTTTTCCAGGTTCCATCACTGAATGATGTTCCCGTACATTACCTAAAGCCCAACAGTTTAGTGAAATTCCGCTGCATGGTTCAAGATATGTTTGATCCCGAGTTTTACATCGGCGTGTATGAAACAGTTGATGCAAACACAAATGCTCGTGTAAGTGACATGCTGATTTATTATTTTAGTAAATGTTTAGTGTTTTCTCCACTCTAATCTTTGTATTTACTCTGGTTTCTGAACTAAACCTGTGGAGCCTGGGCAGTATCTAACAAAACTGTTTATAGTGCTCAAATGGCATCAGTAATACAGCATTGCTTACGTTTCTGTTGAGGAATAAAAATTACTAAAATAATGGAAATGTGTCTTTGAAGGACTTTAGATGGCAATGATTTTGGTGTAAATAATTCATATTGAGGATGCTTTCAGGAACGTAATGATTGTACTGCCTTTTCCTTCTTGACAGGTTTTGCATTTTGGTAAATATAGAGATGTGGCAGAATGTGGGGTAAGTTATTGTTGTGGGTTATACAGTGGCTCTGTCACCTGATGCCTCCTCCCCACCCAGGGAGTTGGGTCGGGAAGAGGAGAGGAAATTCATGGGTTGAAAAAGAAATAGATTTAATAAAATAATAATAGTAAAAAATAATATTAATAACAGCTGTAATATAGAATACACAGGGTTATACTCAGCCAATATTGTGGGGGAGTAGGCCTCAGGGGTAGGACAGTAAACAGATCCCTCTTGAAGTGTCAGCCATGGAAGAGGGAAGGAGGAGGATGAAGAGGAAGGGCTGTCCCCAGTAAACTCACCAGTTTATTGTGAATGTGACATTTGTGGAATGGACCAGTACCAATTGGTCAGCCTGGGATCAGTTATGCTGGGTTTCTGCTCTCCCCAGCCTCTGCACCTCGTTATTTTGAGACTGCTGAAGACTTTGATCATTACATACCGGTTTAGCTGAAACCTATAACAAAGTGTCTTAGCACTTTGTTCGCGTGAAATAGTGTTGTAGTCCTTCCAGAATTGCAGTTTTCCTCAACACAAAACTGACTCTCCAATCCTATCCCAGTAAACCAGGACAGTTGTACCAGTTACGCTAATTTTGAGATGACACATTAGACAGAAGGATGCGATTTCTAAGTGCAGTGTAGCTTATTTGGTGCTCACCAGTGGATTCCTGGACATGCTGCTTTTAAAATGCAAAATTCATTTCAGGCTTGCAAAGCAGAGTATTCTGAATTACTCATGAGCATTTTAAGTTCAG